CTAAACCTCAAGACTCAGGGCAATGCAATCTTCCTCAGCAAACCCTGTAACTTAAGGTTGTCCCGACCCATCGCCTTGGGGAACAACTTTCTCATTGTGCAATTCAACTTCATTTCTAGAATGAGCTTGCTGAACCCGAGCTTCAGAGGAAAGGCTCGTTTGAGCGGGATTGTCCGTGAAAGGGGATAAAGGGGGAGGTTTTTGGAAATATCTGAGAATGAAGACTTTCAATAGCCTTCTTGCTCTGGGTCTTTATTTGATCAGACTTTCCATGTCCTGCACTGTTTTGCTCTGCAGCATTCGCTCTCTCCGCCCTTCCTCTCGCGCCCCTATAATGCTCTGTAATCGCTGCGGGCTGCCGGTGTAGCTCCAGGTGTACCCGAGCCGGGAGAAAGTGTTCAGTTGACCAGGCTGAGTGTATATTACCCTGTTTCATTTCCAGCCATGCCTTGTGTTCAGGCGCAGTATGGGTCCTCGCCTCAAGGAGCCAGCCCCGCTTCTCAGAGCTACAGTTACCACTCTTCGGGAGAATACAGCTCCGATTTCTTAACTCCAGAGTTTGTCAAGTTTAGCATGGACCTCACCAACACTGAAATCACTGCCACCACTTCTCTCCCCAGCTTCAGTACCTTTATGGACAACTACAGCACAGGCTACGACGTCAAGCCACCTTGCTTGTACCAAATGCCCCTGTCCGGACAGCAGTCCTCCATTAAGGTAGAAGACATTCAGATGCACAACTACCAGCAACACAGCCACCTGCCCCCCCAGTCGGAGGAGATGATGCCGCACTCCGGGTCGGTTTACTACAAGCCCTCCTCGCCCCCGACGCCCACCACCCCGGGCTTCCAGGTGCAGCACAGCCCCATGTGGGACGACCCAGGCTCCCTCCACAACTTCCACCAGAACTACGTGGCCACCACGCACATGATCGAGCAGAGGAAAACGCCCGTCTCCCGCCTGTCCCTCTTCTCCTTTAAGCAGTCACCCCCCGGCACTCCCGTGTCTAGCTGCCAGATGCGCTTCGACGGGCCCCTGCACGTCCCCATGAACCCGGAGCCAGCGGGCAGCCACCACGTGGTGGACGGGCAGACCTTCGCTGTGCCCAACCCCATCCGAAAGCCCGCGTCCATGGGCTTCCCGGGCCTGCAGATCGGCCACGCATCGCAGCTGCTCGACACGCAGGTGCCCTCGCCGCCGTCGCGGGGTTCCCCCTCCAACGAGGGGCTGTGCGCCGTGTGCGGTGACAACGCGGCCTGCCAGCACTACGGAGTGCGCACCTGTGAGGGCTGCAAAGGTTTCTTTAAGGTGAGCAAGGACGGGGGCGGAGGAGGCAGGTAGGGGCCCCCTAGTGCCCGGAGCCTCGGCGAGCGCATTCTGCCTGGGTGCAGGCAGCGCAGCCCCAGCTCGGCCCAGAGAGTCCAACTCCCAGGGTCCGTAGAAGTTGCCCTGCAGCCGCCCACGGGCAGCGGTGGGAGCATCCAGGTGTCTGAGAAAGGGAGGTAGGAAAACCTGGGGACCCGGGGTCGCCCCCGCCCCCCGCCCGCCACGCCGCAGCAGACCCGGCAGGCTCCCGCCCCAAGTTGCTGGAGCCTAGTTGGAAGAGGGTCATTTGCATGTGCTCGGAGCTGTCTTCTCTGTTCAGATTGAAATTGGTTAGGACAGAGAACCGTGTCTGAGCTAACCAAGTGGAACAGAATTCCCTATGGTCAAATTAAGTGATCTCTTTATTTCGCCATCCTGATTGAATAATCTTATCATTTTAAATAGAGAAGGTCTCCAAGGAATGTAAATAATATGAATGCCCACGGATTTGTATTTACTGAGCGTCTCCTTCTCCTTCTCTTGGCATATAAAACACAGCAAGGAGCGGCAAGGTTAGCTCAAATGTTAACGCTATCAATTTTCTTCTGTAACATGCCCTGGGGGAGGAAAAAGAAAAAGAAAGGAAAAAAAAAAAAAGGAAAAGAAAAAAAAAAAGAGTTCTGTGTATGTGTTTGTTTGTGAGAAGGGAGTGTAGACCCCAACCGTTCAGAAATTCTCTCTGAGTTCCCTGGGTTGCTGGATTTTCAAGAGAAAAATAATTTTCGGCTTCTATTGTCTCCTTTTGCAGCGCACGGTGCAAAAAAACGCGAAATACGTGTGTTTAGCAAATAAAAACTGCCCAGTGGACAAGCGGCGCCGGAATCGCTGTCAGTATTGTCGATTTCAGAAGTGCCTGGCTGTTGGGATGGTCAAAGAAGGTACGTCTGGGAAAGCAACCGACTCTGCAATGTGTGCCTTTGGGAAACCGCTACTCCTACCCCAATCCCACTTTCCACTCCCAGAACCGGGGGCCTCCCACTCCCTCCAAACCACGTCCTGCCTCTATCCTGCCCTAGAGAAAGCCACCAGGCTTTTCTCGTCTTTAACTATACGACCCATTTGAAAGCAGACGTAAAACGACCCCTCATTTTTTATGCTTCTCGTCAATAAAGGCTTTACAAGTAGTGGGGCTTTGCGCCGCCTGGCCGGGCGCCCCGCGGCTGCGGCCTTCCCCGGGGAGGGGCCGGGACAGCAGCTGGGTCCCGCTTCCGGGAGCGATGCTAACCCGGCTCTTTTTTTGCAGTGGTTCGCACGGACAGTTTAAAAGGCAGGAGAGGTCGTTTACCCTCGAAACCGAAGAGCCCACAGGAGCCCTCTCCCCCCTCGCCCCCGGTGAGTCTGATCAGTGCCCTCGTCAGGGCCCATGTCGACTCCAACCCGGCTATGACCAGCCTGGACTATTCCAGGGTAAGAAGCTGGCGGGGGTATCATGTGGACAAACCCACAGATGGGCAGGACTCCCTCCCCACATCTATCAGTAACCCCCAGACTCAAGGGCGAAAGGAGGCAAGCAAGGCTATGGTTTCACAGCTCTGGGCAGAGCCACAGGAGACAGATCCACAGAGAGACTGTGTTGCTGGGGGTATGGAAATGAGGACAGGGCAGAGGAAGGAAGAGATATTAGGCCACTGTGGTCAAATCTCTGCAAGCCCACCTCCCCACTACCACTGCACGCACATATACTCACACACTAATGCTTCTGATGCCAAAACCAGAGGTGGTGCAAAAGGCTCCCACTTGGGATTTTATCTCCAATCTTCCACAGACATGCTTAAATCCTCTTCCTCTCTGGCACTGTTAGGGTGGGGATGCCTGCTTGGGGGTCCGGGAAGGGAAAAAGAAAGGGCGTGACGAATGGCAGTGAAGTGAAGGATCAAGTGATCAGAGCCCTTTTTTTACCCCAGCTGTGAGAAATGTATGGGTTTCAATTGGAGGAAGTATGTCGGGCAAACCTAGAAGTCACTGCAATTTTATTAAGATTTGCAAAGGGCGTCTCTACTTGAGATTCACTCTGGGGTTGGCATGAATACTAACGTGTCAATTGTTTTGTGGAGATAAGAGTGAATGTTTCTCAGGGCTGGATGGCACTGTATTTAGTCTGTATGGAAATGGTAATTTACATATTTAAAGCAGCGACCTCATAGCACCATCCCTAATTGAATTAATTGCCCCGGAACATCTAATTTCCTTACTGGTCAGAGAGAGATTTAATTGTTATAAAAACCTGGCTCCCCTACTAGAAACGGGGTTAGCAATTTCACGGGTTATATATTTTAGAGAACCTCATTAAGTGCTTTTTAAAATGAAATTCCAGTTCCAGGCGAACCCTGACTATCAGATGAGTGGAGATGACACCCAGCATATCCAACAATTCTATGATCTCCTGACTGGCTCCATGGAGATCATCAGGGGCTGGGCCGAGAAGATTCCTGGCTTCGCTGACCTGCCCAAAGCCGACCAGGACTTGCTTTTTGAATCAGCTTTCTTAGAACTGTTTGTGCTGCGATTAGCTTACAGGTAATAGAGGAGGCAATCAGGGAGGCTGGGAAAAGAGGAAAAGTGGAATCAGGAAAAGAAAACAAAGAGGAAAAAGGAAATAAAAGGGGGGAAAGAGAAAAGGACAGAAGAGGAAATGAAAGAGCTTAAAAGGAAGGAGAGGATAGTAGACCAAAGGAGGAAAAGGGAAGGAGTCCAGAGGCCTCGGTTGAATGGAACGGAGGTGGGATAGGGGGCGTTCTTGATTGTTATGAAATTAAACCCTTTCAAGGTCCACTGGTCTACATTTTATTAACTCTTCGGTAATTAGGTACCTCTTAAATCCCTCATTTATTGCTCTTCGAGTAATTAGTTGTTTAGCTTTTCTCTCTCTCTTTTTCTCCCCCCTCTCTCTTTGGTATTAATTGCAGGTCCAACCCAGTGGAGGGTAAACTCATCTTTTGCAATGGGGTGGTCTTGCACAGGTTGCAATGTGTTCGTGGCTTTGGGGAATGGATTGATTCCATTGTTGAATTCTCATCCAACTTGCAGAATATGAACATTGACATTTCTGCCTTCTCCTGCATTGCTGCCCTGGCTATGGTCACAGGTCAGTACCACAGGCTCAAAAAACTTTTTCAGAACTGCCTACCAGGTTTTGTCCCGGTTTTCCCTTGCCACCAATTCTCCCTGGTCCTGCCAGCTAGCTAAATGCTTGTGTATTCTCTTTTGTTTCTGATTGTTTTCTGCAGAGAGACACGGGCTGAAGGAACCCAAGAGAGTGGAAGAACTGCAAAACAAGATTGTAAATTGTCTCAAAGACCATGTGACTTTCAATAATGGGGGTTTGAACCGCCCCAACTATTTGTCCAAACTGTTGGGGAAGCTCCCAGAACTCCGTACCCTTTGCACACAGGGGCTACAGCGCATTTTCTACTTGAAACTGGAAGACTTGGTGCCACCGCCAGCAATAATTGACAAACTTTTTCTGGACACTTTACCTTTCTAAGACCTCCTCCCAAGCACTTCAAAGGAACTGGAAAGAAACCTAAAACTGTCCGGAGGGGCAAGTCACAAGGGCAGAGATATCTCCCAGAGCTCCCTCAGGTCTAGCCGGCCCCCACCCCTTCCATAACACCCCTAAACCCTTGATTCCTAAAGAAAAACAAAACAAACAAACAAAAAATACTGTTGCTATTTCCTAACCTACAGGCAGAACCTGAAAGAGCATTTTGGCTCGGGGCACCCTGGATTTAGAACATGGACTACACACAATACAGTGGTATAAACTTTTTATTATCAGTTTAAAAATCAGTTTAATGTTCAGAAGAAAGATTCCTAATGTATGATGGGAAATGTTTGGCCACGTTTGGTAGTTGCAGTTAAGACAAATGTAACACACACACATACACACACATACACACACATACACACACACCATAAGGGGACCCACAGGTATTGCCCTTTAAAAGACTTCAAAGTTTTCTGCTGTAAAGAAAGCTGTAATATATAGTAAAACTAAATGTTGCGTGGGTGGCATGAGTTGAAGAAGGCAAAGGCTTGTAAATTTACCCAATGCAGTTTGGCTTTTTAAATTATTTTGTGCCTATTTATGAATAAATATTACAAATTCTAAAAGATAAGTGTGTTTGCGCAAAAAATAAATAAATAAATAAATAAAAATAACTAAACAAAAAAGGGACCAGCATGTTGATTCTAGGTTGAAAATGTTATAGGCACTTGCTACTTCAGTAATGTCTATATTATATAAATAGTATTTCAGACACTATGTAGTCTGTTAGATTTTATAAAGATTGGTAGTTACCTGAGCTTAAACATTTTCTCAATTGTAAAATAGGTGGGCACAAGTATTACACATCAGAAAATCCTGACAAAAAAGGGACACATAGTGTTTGTAACACCGTCCAACATTCCTTGTTTGTAAGTGTTGTATGTACCGTTGATGTTGATAAAAGAAAATTTATATCTTGATTATTTTGTTGTCTAAAGCTAAACAAAACTTGCATGCAGCAGCTTTTGACTGTTTCCAGAGTGCTTATAATATACATAACTCCCTGGAAATTACTGAGCACTTTGAATTTTTTTTTTTTTTTAATGTCTAAAATTGTCAGTTAATATATTATTTTATGTTTGAGTAAGAATTTTAATATTGCCATATTCTGTAGTATTTTTCTTTGTATATTTCCAGTATGGCACATGATATGAGTCACTGCCTTTTTTTATGGTGTATGACAGTTAGAGATGCTGATTTTTCTTTTCTGATAAATTCTTTCTTTGAGAAAGACAATTTTAATGTTTACAACAATAAACTATGTAAATGAACAGAATTTTGTCTTCTTTCTGGGTCAGGAAAAAATGATGACTAAACAGCAATATACAATAGACAGAGTTTGGGATTGATTTGGGATAAGTCACTTATTCAACATCTAAGGTTCAAGCTGACAGCTTAGATCTGTTCTGGCAAAAGTAACTGGAAAATTGAACTAATTTCCAGAGAATTCAGTATAATATTTTCTCTTAACCAGAATTTTTCAGTGTGGCAACCTACATTTATCAGAATCATTTGAAAATGTCTCAATTTTCCTTTAACTTTGCTAGGAAGTGCAGCTTTCAGAAGAGAAATTCAGGAGACTGAACAGCTTTTGAACTTTTGCAAGATCTAAAGTCCTGTTAAGATTTTGTCTTGCACAATGTGTAGAAAGTCCTTTTTTAAAACTTAAGTCAGCAGGA